TAATTGATATTTTTTTCTGTAATTTTGTTGTGTAACCTTTAACCTCCTTCAGTAGGTTGTTATGAGTTAATAAATTGTACTGTATTGCATCTTTAGAAATACGCAATTTTCTATCAGTACCGGTATATAGCAATAACTCCAAATGTATTAGAACAGTGTTGGGTGCTTCCGCAGTAAGCTATTTTGGGGGTTATGTATTGCATGGAGCTTCATGTGTAGCCAGCTGACAATGAATGTTTGTTAGTTCATGGTATTATCAGCACTTTTAATATGAAAAACATTTAAATATCATCTGAAACAATTTCTTTTCATTGTAATGTTTCAGTGTCACTTTATTTAACCCATCGAGGAAAGGGAATTATTATTTCCTGGACTCGAGACTCAAGTTAACAAATGAAAATAGCTTATAAGATGATTATCAAAAAAATATTTTCATTATAAACTGAAATAATCTGGCAAAATGTCTGTCCTGACGTTGCACCCACATCTATACAATGTTGATAATTCCAGGTTAGCCAGCATTAATTTATATTATATCCAGTATACAGTGCAGTAATGTTGGTTTCCATACAGCTTGTTCTAAAGAATATAAAGGAAAAAATATGGCATTCTTTATCAGCATCCTCAGTTATATTATATAGGTTCTCTAATAAAACACAATTTGTTTTATAATAATTGTAAATGGTTGCAGTGTTGTTCCATACTAAATAAACTTGGTTCTGAATGTCCATATGATTTGTGTGACATTTTAGGCGCAAAACTGACAATTGAGATTTGTGTCCACAAAATATAAATAACTGTACATCCACAATTATGAGCAACTAATTTAAAGGGCCAGTGAAAATTTGCACCACAAATTTCATCAAGTATCTTAAGTAGGTAAAGATAATTTTCCAAAAAAATTGAAAACTGTAAATGTGCTGCCTTCTAGATGACTAATATGGCAAGTGTCAGTTCTGCAGTAGCAATAATTAGCTATTTAAATTTGAACTGACATCAATGAAAATCAGTTGTCACTAATACCCTCATAATTGTATTAAAGTTGCCTACAGTGCATGTAAGTAATATACTGGAATGTGGTGGATACTTATGTCATCGTCATCTCAACATTTTATTACAAACTATGGAATTATAAACTTGTTAAATAGGTTAATCAGGTCTAGTGTGCAATGTCTTCATTATAACACTGTGTGACTATCTCTATATGCACTAGTGCTCCTGACAGGACTCTGTACGAACCTGTGAAAATAGGGCATCAAGGGACACCAAATACTTTCTGCATTTTCCTATACTAATGTAACATACAAACTAGAAAAGCATGCACTCAGAATGTCAACACACATGATATATACAAGATGATTTATCTGTGGTTCCACAGAATTTCTGTTTTCTTAGCCATGTTTTTTAAAATTTAT